TTTTCGCCTGGAGAAACTGTTCCTTTGCATTTTCAGTTTATGCTGTCTCTCGTTTTCATCTTTCCCTCACCAAAATGCAGAAAACCTGAAGAGTGAGGTAGAAAGAAACCTTAGGTCTTGGTCAGACTGAACTTCTGATATTAAAATATATATATCCAGATACACTGTCACTTTTCCTTAATCACCATTGCAGTTGTCTCTTTATTTGAATATAGATGACATTGCCTTAGAAAAATACTGAAGTTGGCAAAAACTCAGTGATTTACGGAATCAGCATATTGCCCCCAACAATGTGGGTTCTTATTTTACCAGTCTTGGAAGGATAGAAAGCTGAGTGAACCTTGAGCCAATCAGGATTGAACTCCTGGCTCTGGGCAGAGTCAGACTGCAATACTGCATTCTAACCACTAGGGCTCTAAGCAGCAATATTGCATGCTTTCGAACTACTGGATGGGCAGGAGCTAGGGATCAAGCGATGGGAGTTCACTCCATCTGACAGAGCCAGGCTCGAACTGCAGTAGTACAGACATTTCTGGCCAGCAGTTTCACCATCATTAAGCCTCTGTGCCACCGCGTCCCCTATCCCCACAGGAATAAAAGCTTACATTTCACATGATTTTAAGTCTCCGATACCATCAGTCTTGCCTGCTATCAAATGCAGTACTGCATAAATCTTGCACCTGGTTTAATTTCCTTAAATTAGGAGGAGAAGTGTCCTGTTTTACATACACTAATTATTTTTTTTAGAAATGCTTTTATTAAAGTCAGGCTAAATTTCTTCATCCCCACTGCTCACTGCTTAGAGTTCCTATGCTGCAAAAAATCTTTCGACATGATCTAATGACTCAATTTTTTTTTAATTATTATTATTATTATTCCCTGGCTTATTTTTAGTAGATGAAATCTAAACAGCTTTTGTTGCTACATTAGCTTTTCCAATATTATTGACTATACTTAAAGAAACATTGATCTATTAGGATCACAAATCACCATCAGGATAAAAGAGTATTAAGGAAAGATGACTCCTCTCCCCCCATCCCATAGCACCCCGTCATTAGGTATTAAATACTCATTGATTTAACAGGTTTACTGTAATATATATTCAACTGACAAGTGGACCATGAAGGCTCCTTCTGGTGGTCTCCTACTAAGCACAGACTCATTACTTTACACACCTGATATTTTAAACAGATCCAGATTTCTCTGCAGTTAGTCAATCCCATTAGCTGTCAGTGCAATGATCTACTATTGCCATTTTTGGTTTTCTCTGTATGTTAGAGATGTCCCCTGTCTTTGAATTGTCAGATAATATAAATCATCAACCTGATTCAGACATTGCTGTGTTTGCAGTGGAACAAGGAGACCTGATTTCCTGTCAACTTTTTTTTTCAGAAAAATGTGTCAGTGTGTGCATTTTGTCACAGTTGCCTGTTATATTTGCAGAGCCAAGTTATGTGAGGAGTGAGGAGTTATAACAGTTTCTTACAATAAAATGTTCTGCTAATCTCTCTCAATTCAGCAAGCAAAATAATTGAAATTGTACAACATTTAATGATCTGTCATAGGACCAAGGCTGCTTAATAAGGCTAATTATATTAATGGTAAAGCAAGATACCTTTGAAATTAGGTCAATTCTTAGAGACTTCGTGTACAACTGTTTTGTTTTCTTCACCGTATTGCAGAAGTGGTTTGCTATTGCCTTCTTCCAGTTTTATATATTTTATTATTATTTAATTATATATTAATAATTATAACTCCAATTATTAAATTATTATTACTTTAAGGCTAAACTACAATCCTCGGATTTTACTTTTTCAAGCCAGATCATATTAAGACATATGATTTATTACCAGTTTAAATTTTTAGCTGAACAACTATTTCATATTGCATTCTTTCAGTCTGATTGGTTTAAAATATAAATACTGTTACTTGAATGGCATATAACAGCACCTCCCCTAATAATGTGATATTTCTCCTGGATTAATTACAAAAGGATAAACATTTCCAAATTAATTCTACTTCTGTTGAATTTGCTTAATAATTATTTTTCTATAGTAAATAATTATAAATCATATTTATAGGCTATTGCTAGAGTTAAAAATATATTATGCAGTTTAAATTCATTAAGCTATAAACCATAAAACACTTCAATATTTTAGAAATCTAACTATGGTGCAAATTGAATATTTGCCTGCCATTTTTAATCATGAATGTCCAAGTGCCTTGAAAGCCTAGCCTTCTGGAAGGAGACAAAGGGGAAGAATGGGGAAAAGTACATGCCCAAAGCAAAGCCAATGCATGGGACATGAAATACAGTCTCCTCGTCATTTTCTAAAAAGTGCAAAAGACCCCCACTTAGTTCAACCACAATTAATTTTTTTTTCATATACCTTCAGGTCAGTTAGATTCCTGGTGACTACCTGGACAAGTCCCTTGGCAACAATTTTTACAAGTGGTTCGTCATTTCCTTCTTTGTATATTTAGCCCAATCTGAATTTAATGCTGGTGGTAAAAACCTGGTTTCATTCCCAGATCTGGAAAACTTGAATTATGCAGTATTTTGCTGGCCGAGGCAACAATTTAAACTCCGCTGAGATCAAGACCTGTCTTCTCAAACATGAATGGCATCTAATTGATTGGGAACTTTGACAGCTGTAGTTCCGCTATTTCTGTCTTTATTTTTAAAACGTCAAATCAAATTTTACATGATAAAGATATTTGCCACGTTGACTTCAGGTAATTTCAGTTTTTCCAATTTCTGTAAATTTAGTATATATTAGACCAATAACCTGTTTTCCCCAAAATAAGACATCCTCTGATAATAAGCCCAATCAGCCTTTTGAGTGCATGGCAATAAGGCCAAGCGCTTATTTCAGGGTTCAAAAAAATATAAGACAGGTCTTATTTTCAGGGAAATATGGCATTTCATGCATTTTTTAAAATTAATGATGCCCTTCCATTTTATGTTGTTCCAGACCTTTGTTTGGGGATAGGAGAAGATAATGCTTCAGCTCAGAACGTTTGAATCTTGTACTTCTGATATGCGAGATGCAGATCATCACTTTCTAGCTAATTTCTTTGGCAGACAGAATTATTAATAAAATGGTTATTAAAAAAGCAGTGCCATTGTCTTCTACCTATAGGACTTTATAAAACCAGATTTGTATTGAAGAACCCTTCAAATGAAGAGTTGTAAAATACTATATAGGGTCAGTTTCTTCAGTGCAGAAACAGAAAAGAACTAAACAGAAGTTTCCATTGTTATCTGAATGCCACATCTGATCAGTGGTGGGTTCCTGCCGGTTCAGCCCAGTTCTCCCGAGCCGGTAGCGGTGACGATATGACGTCACTGAACTGGTTCTGCCCCCCACCCACCCCCCTGTGCCCCCCCATGCCCCCCACCCCACCCACCCCCCGTGTTATTCTTACCTTTTATTTGGCCCCACCCCCAATCTATTGCAGCCTCCTGAGTCCCAGCTGATGGCTAAAGGGAAAAAAACTGTTTAAACTCTTGCCGCGTGGCTTCAAAGGGCCGCCCTACAACTGATCAGTGTTAAAAGAAAACAAATGAGTAGGCCAGTGTCTGCAAAAATACATGAGTAGATCAGTGCCTGTAACAATACATGAGTAGATCAGTGCCTGCAAAAATAAATGGGTAGACCAGTGCCTGCAAAAAATAAATGGGTAGATCGGTACAGGTCTGCAAGCAGTTAAAAGCCTGGTAGACCAGTACCTCTGCTAAATCCTAAATAATTGTCACATGACCATCAAGCCATGCCCACAAAATAAGCCATGCCCACAGAACCGGTAGTAAAAAAATTTAGAACCCACCCCTGCATCTGATCCAGTCATAGACAATAATGCCATCAGATCTAATTTTTCCAAAGGTGCTAGGTAAAATAATTTTTAAAAATTCATCAACTTCCCTATTTTTTTTTAAACAGAAGGATAAACACTTTTGTAAATTCTGTAAAAGAACAATGACCTGATTGAGGCAGATAAGATAAAGCTGTATATTGCATTCTTTTTATACCACAGTTGAGACTGGAACTTCCATTGTGAAGTGCTTTGATCATTAAGTGAGGCCCACCTGATTTTACAAATCTTTTTGGCTCAGTACATAATTGAATCATCACAGTCATTAAGGGAATGACTGTGGCTTCCTCTACTGACTTTGCCTGTTGGAAACCCCCTGGGAAGGATACAAATGGCAATCATGGGATCCCAGGATGCTGCTACTTTTGTAAATGCATGCTGGTTGCCAATTGCCCAAATTTTGATCATGTGACCATGGAGATGCTGCGACAGTCATAAGTGTAAGGATTGCTTGTAAGTTACTTTTTTCAGCACCATTGTAATTTTGAACAGTCATTAAATGAATGGTTGGAAGTCAAGGACTCTCTGTATTTAGGGGGAAAAATAGGGGCAGCACTTCTGAGCTGTAGTCCTTGGAAAAGATCATGCTGGCTGTTTCCTTCTGATCTGATGTGTGAAAGAAAGGGGGTGTAACCAGCAAGCATGAAAATAAAAGGTGTTGCAGATTATAAAGTCCCTGAAGGAACAGTCCAGAGTGTATGTGTAGAAAGTCTTTTGATTTCGTATAAAGACTGGCAGAAGCTTTTTAAATGTCTTTATTATTACCCGCCTAAGCAGCAGAAGTTACGATTTCATACTACAAATGCAGTATTATGTGACTGAGACTTTTGATTTTGAAAACTGCTTCAGGCCCAGTTAGTTCTGGTGACAGTGACCAAAGAAACCATAACAGAGGAAGAAAAGAAAGGCATACATTTTGCATGGTGCATTACTTTTCTGGAGTGTCCCTTTCTTCAAAAAATAAAGAAATATGGTCTGCCTAATTAAATTAGTCAAGAGTCTCTGAAAACTGGATTTTCAAAATATGTACCCTTTATAAAACTACTTGTTAAAAATAACTGAATGGGTTTTTTTTTTAAAAAAAAGTGAAGCATGGAGAAATAAGCTGGATCCCAAACCTCAAATACTGTACCTATCTTTTAATAGTGTTGGGCTTATATTATTACAACTGCAAAATGTTCCATAATATTGAAGCAGACAACAACTGAGCAGAATTGTTAAAAGGAAGGAAGAAGGCCCACCCTGTGCCTCTCCCACACGATTGTATTGTGCCATTATGCTATTTAGCAACGATGCTAGAAACAAGCAGCAGATTTCTCTCCACTCTGTGAGTAATTGTCTTCATAGCAGTGACAGATGTGCAATATCGCAGCTTCTTCAGGAAAAAAAATTAACAGTTTGTCCAGCATGTCAGCTCGCTCTTTTTAGTGCTTTGGAGGTCCTGGCCCCATTATGGATGATTTAGAAATTGAGGCAAGCTAAGACCAGCTGCCTACGCTGAAAGGCTTCGTTAGAAGACCCTCATCTGCATTCCAGTATTCACGTTCAGCTAGAAATTGGTCGGGCCCCTCTGGCCACGAGATGAGTGCAGGCTGACAATGCCTTGATTTGTCGAGAGAGAGAATAAATGGGTTTTTCAGAAGATGAGGAAATATCACCATTACTGGCCAATTTACAGCATTTTATCTGTTCTTCAAACATGTCACTTTTGTTATTGTTGCATGGTAATTACATAGTGAAAGAGAAAGAAAACAAATTCCGGTTACATATTCAGATGGATTGCAAAATCATATAATTCTGATAAATGCCCATTTATGATACACACGGATAGAAAGTTCATTTTAATTTTGAATAGCCAGCACACAGCCTTAAATACAATCTAGGATTAGATCCCACTGAATCTGATTATGAAAAAGGAACAGTATTTTCCTCACACTTTTTTTTAACAGACAGCAAATTTGAAACTCGGGTGAGGTGGTATTTAATATCATACAATATGAGATGTATTTCTTTATTTGGTTGTGATTTTAGAGTTGCTGCCTTTCTGTTTCCCTAAAATAGGTTTTAGAACACTTTTTATACTATGGCTCTCTTGGATAAGATTTACCTCAGTAAATGGGTACACCCTGTGTCATCAGCTTTGGATGTTAAACGCTCACAGTATCCTAACAAATTGTGCATATCTCTTGCACAAGGCAGACAATTAGAAGGTGGACATTCCACTAACAGACAATAAAATTAAAAATACTTCCATTATACCAGTTGTTATGCCCAGTTTTTGAACAGAAGACTGAACTCAATTGCTAAAATTTCTTGAGACAAATATTAAAGAAAATTCCAGACACCTTTAAGGCTTCTGGTTAAGAGATGGTCGACTAAAACCATCAGAGCTTATCAGAGGAAAATTGGGCTGTCTCTTCTGTCGATGATAAAAACACAATCCACCAGGAATGTTTCTGGCACATGTCCCATTTAAGATAAATATGAGTTAGACAAGCATCAAACAGATCACCACTGGATAAGGCCCCATTGCATGGGACTAAAAGACAGAAATATGAAAAATTATTTCAAACAATTTTCTGAACAAAAGGAAATCATTTATATATGTGGTAGCTGTCCTGAACAGATTCATCTTTTCAAAGATGAGAACCATGTTCAAATTCCTGTTCCATTTTGGAGTTCACTAGATGGTAAGTTAAAGTAGTAGGCATATGCAGAGCATATTTTGTCCTGTGACAAAATAATAATTTTGCAACAAAGTTAGATTACAAACCCACATATATAAATATAATATAAATTAATATAATATAATAATTTGTTTAATATAAATTAAACAAAGTTTCCACTTTGAATGCATGAATTGTTCATCTGGCAAAAGAATTAAAGGTGTGAACAATTACTGTATAAAATCACATCCCAGCATTTGAAAAGTTTACTTAGCAATCACTTTAGATTCTTGGATTTGATATACATTCTATAGGGGCTTCTCCGTAACGATCATACTTCAAAAAGAAAAAGAATAATGGCCAAATTTTTACACTGAATATTTTATTTTTGAAAATGAAAATGAAAATGAGTTACGTCACCATATCCTTTCACATTTTTAACAACCACCAAAAAAAAAATTAAAAAAAATGCAGAGATTTATATTTGTGTTAAAATCAATCATCTACTTCTTGGCATTAATGGCCATATGAGACTGCCAGAAATTTAACTGGTGGAATCAGATGGAGTAGGCAGAGTATTAAACAGCTACACTGACTATTTATTTAGCTTTTTGGAGTACCTTTAATGATGTAAGAAATTTTACAACAGTTCCTAGGATCACTTCATTCTGGGTCTTAAGAATGTCAAATGAGGCATTTTTGCACTTTCAAAATATTCCTTATTTGAAGAACAGGATGTATCCTCTGAGCCCAGAAAATCTAACGAACTAGGACAAATGGGGGAGCAGGTAAAGGCCAATAGACACAATTCCTGAGGCACAGGTTCTTATTAGGATTTGACCATCAATACACTTCACTGAAGTCACTAATGAAAATGTTGAAGAGTACTGGGTCTAGTACCAAAGTCACAGACTATAACATTTCAGAAAATGAAATGTTATTAATCTGCTAAGATTTGTGTTTGGACGATTCATGCTGACATTGCATAGTTTTCAAGGTGTAATTTAATCAATCAATTAATTCAATTTAATATAGCCATCCAACTTCAGAAGACCTTGAGCAACCTACAAATTCCATTAAAAAGTGAACAATTAATATCCGCAAATATGAGCAGCCTGGACTAAATCAACTAGAACAACAAACATGAAGAAAACAATGCAGTAGGAACGCAACCAATGAGTCTCACTTACATTAACTTCAGGCCTAAACAGAAAACAAACCTTAAGGTTTCCAAAATCCCAGGAGGGTGGAATCTCCTAGAAGTCGCTGTTCCAGATGATGGGGGTCCTGACAGAGAAAGTATGCTTCTTTGGTCCTAAAAGATACCAGCATTTAATTGAAGGATCTGTAGTGCATTCACTCTGCATTAATGTACTGGTCTGTTTGAAACAATTGGAGATAACCAATCCCTCAGATAACCAGGCCCTAAACCATAAAGGGTGTTATAGGTGGTAGCCAGTACCTTGAATTGAATTGCAAAGGAAACCTACTAGCAATCAATGCAACTCACATACCAGCATTGGCACATAGGCATACTGTGAAGTGCCTATAATTGTTCATGCTACTGCATTCTAGGTGTAGGTTCTGGAAGGTTTTCAAGGGCAATCCCACATAGACCACATTGCAGGAGTCCAATTGTGAGGTAATCAGGGTGGTCATCAGTTGAGAAAAGGGAGCAAGTGGAACATAGACCACAGCTGTCAGGCCAGGCCACAGCTACCACCTGCACTTAGAGCAGGAGCTGTGAATCCAGAAGGACACCCCAGTGTATACACCAGTCTTGAATGGAAAAACACAACCATATCCAAGGCCAAGATGAAAATGCTCCTGCCATCCCTTCCATCAAGGAGGCTGATACCTGGTTATTAGTGGAACAAACTTCCTGAAAGCTATCAGAATCTGTAAATAGCAATTATTACACTCCTGCCCTGCACTCCCATTGTAGCTGGAGTTCACATGAAACCCAGTCAGGCACGTTTCTGAAAGGGAACTCTTCCCTTCTATGCTCAGCCAGGTTTCAGTAATGTATTAAATAAAATTAGGATAAGGAGACTGTGGGTGTTAAAATGGTTTGATTATATAGAAAAAAAGAATGAGCATGAATCACAAAACCAATATATGAAAAAAAAAAGTGGATGAATTGAGAGGAAGGGAAGGCTAAGACATTTACAGTTCTGTGGGGTTGGAGAGTTCCTCAGGAAGAGTCAGGTGAGATGTTTAAAGAACAAAATGCAGTGAAGTGAATTTGAAGTAAGGTGGATGTGACAGAAGCAAGGATTTAGCTATATTTTATTTTTTTGGGATCTCATCCCTTTAATTACCTTTGCCTACTGTTTTTATTTACTTATTCAAGACATTTATATAGCCATTCAACTTTCAACCAATTCTGGGCATTGTATTATTATTTTCTCCTTTTCTGTGCTGAGCCTAACACAGCTTACCCAAAAAGGATAGTATTATCCTTTGGGGGTGGGAGGTGGGGGGTTATTTTGTTTTATTGTACTATATTAATTTATTTGATTCTTTTTGTTAGTTTTTATTGTTTTAAATGTGGTCTTAGCTGCTTTCCGTCACAATGGGTGAATAGGCGACAATATAAATTCAATAAATAATAAATACATTGTACATACATACATACATACATACATACATACATACATACATACATAATATGTGTGTATGCAAGTACCTAACCTTAATTGAGTGATCCACTAACTAGGGGAGCCACTTGTTATTGGATTATTAGTGTTCTGATAAAGCTACCTACCGTAGATATTCAGCAACACAAATTCAGATTCGGAATTCAGATTCAGATTTTTTTTTCAGTACTTTTAAACATTTCTTTAGAAATAAAGTGGGAATTTTATAACAAAGTACATATCTTGACAACTATGACTCAGTCCAAATGATCTTTTTACCTTTTGATTGTCCTTTTCTAGTGTGAGGAAGGGACCTTTTAAAAATCGGAGCTTCAAATCTGTTGCACATAAACACCATATCATCTTCAGAAAGACAGTACTCGGCATCATCTCATTTCGCCATTTGTGTTGATCTTCAAATTTTCAGTAAGGTTTTTGTACAATCACATTGTTTTCCATTCCTTGGAATCAAAGCCATTTGTGCCTTTAGTATCTCATTTTTAATGAACTCCCATCATTCATGGACTAATTAGCATCTCCAGCCATTCTCTGATTTAATTAAAATGTGTTTTCCTGATAATCAATATATATTCCTGACTACATTTAGCTTTAATATCACCTACACTCAAGAATGTCCACATTGCACTATTTCTTGAACGGACTATTGTCTGTTCCTCCATTCTCTGAAAGGAAAAAGAGAGGTCTGCAGAACAGTGTAGGAACTTCTAAGAAGGAAGCTGGGGATAATATGGTTTAGTATGGATCTGCACTGCTTCTCACACAATTGTGCCTCAAACTGATTTACAATAAAATATTAAATACCATCATAAACCAATAAATTGTAGTAGCATAAATATTTCATTAAAAACCTGGCTGGGAAAAACAAAACCATTGATCACATTGTGGGGAAGGTTGATTTTGCAGGGAAGGGCTGGGCTAAGTAGATCTTGTATAGGTACTGAAAAAAACATCATATACTGTAGGCACCTCACAAAGAAGAAAGCATATCATTCCAGAATGCAGGTCCATGAAGGAGGCCTTTTCTGTAGGCATGCACTTATTTCACAACTGTAATTTCTTCAGGATCTTCTCAGATGAACAACCAGGTTTGTAATAGTGAAGGTAATGTCAGTTATTCTGGTGGCAAGTTGTTTAGAGCCTAATTGGCAGAAGGAAAGACTTGAAATGGCCTCCATCTCTAACGATATGTGCAGGTAGACATTCTATAATGTCAGTTTTGCAAATTGCCCAGAAACACTCTCACATATAGTTGAAATGGAACATTTGGAATGCAACCTAGTCTTTTCTTCTTTTTGTCTCTGCATAGTCAGCATATGGTTATCTTAATGCATCTTGCAAAAGACTTCAGAACCATAACAACTCCTTTTGAAATATATATACTGTCAGATGTAAATGCCTTATTCTCCAATGTGTAAATAGTGTACAGACAGGGTATCAGGGGTTAACTTATTCTTCACTTCTTAATGTATTCATAATTCACCACTCCCACATATAGCTCCACCCATTGTATATATAAGGAGCTACCTACACCATTTCCCCTGCTTCTATCTGTGAATATTCAGTGAATATAGAATGCCTAATGTAAATAAAAGAATATATAGTTAAATCTTTAACTCTTGTTGATCTTATTGAGTCTGATCCTGAAAATATTGCAACAAACTGGTAGCAGAGGATGGTTAATTGACTCAATAAAAAGCTTTAAAATGTCTAAGAAAGATAGGCCCAACACCAGGGCCTACAGCAAAGAAATGGAAACGGAACAAGAAATAATCAACGAATCCACGAATGCAATTTCGAGAGAATCCGAAGAATACACCACTGAAGACGAAGAAATAATTGATGACCAGGAGGAAATCGAAATAGAAAATAACGAACTCAGGTCAGAGATATTAAAACTATTAAAAAGCCAGAAGAATGATGAAAGCCTCATCGCGAACCTCCAAGATATGCTAAAGAACAGCGGAGCAGCGAGAGAGAAAAACATCACCAATGAAAAACCCAAAGATACAAAAATAGTGAGTAATATGACTGCGGAGAAAATCATTACAAAGAAGAAAAACGATGATCCCGCGCAAAAATTTGAATGGCGGCCATCTTGGTTTCAACCGGCCTCCAAGATGAACGAAGAAGAGCCAATCAGCAATCTCAATTCAAAATTTCTGGCGCGAAAAATATTATCGGACAACGAAAACGAAAAGGAAGATTCAAACACCTCAGAAGAATCAGAACCAGAAAGCGAGGAAGATCCAACAAAACACCAAATAAAATCAGCGATGAAAACGCTCTTTGCTGCATTTGGGCCAAAACTGAAAATTACTAAAAAGACACTAAAAAAGCGAAAGAGCAAGCCAATGCCTCAAGAACTGCCCGCTCCCATCCTGACTACTAGAACGCTGACGCCGGAACCCAGAGAGCCCTGCCGATACCGCCCTACGCCACAGACCGAAGCAAGCACCAACGCTTTCAATAGAAGAGGAAGAACAGCCACCGTCGCCAGAACCCCCAAAGTCGAACCAGAGACCGACTCATCTGAAGAAGAGCAGAGCGAGCGGGCCGCAATGAGGAGAACCTTCCACGACGACGCCGAAGAAGAAATGGACAACGCGCATGCGCGAAACTACGCTGACGATCCGGGAAGACATGAACAGGAGAGAAGATCATGCAGACTCGTAGCGAGCATCCCCACACCGTTTTGCAATTTTCTACATTTACGAGACCACGGACTACCTCAGGTTGTAAGTAATGGACCCAATAATGTCGGAAATTTACCCAGTGACTTCCCAAAACTAAGGGTTGATGGCATTAATTTACAAGAATGGTATCAACAGCTCCAGGTTGTCTTTATGAAGGAAAACTTACTGTTTTTTATCACTAGTCCCCCAAAAAGACCTTGGACACTAAAAATAGATTGCTTACACCATAGAGCTTTTTTCTTAATAATATCTAGTGTGTCTCCTGCAATGTATCACAGCATTAAGCCAAATTTGACTGTTTCAGAAATTATTCAATGCATGTTTAATTTGTTTCACAGTGACAGTGTAGCCACCACCACAAGGATATCTAAAGACTTCTTTTCATCTAGGATAAAACCAGGGGTTTCCATAAGTGAACATTTAATATCTTTGAACAAAATAAGAGCTGAACTGCATTTGAGGGGGGAAGTGATTTCAGACCAAACAATGAAAAGTGTCATTATCAACTCACTTGACCCATCATGGGACAATTTTATGTCACATTTAGACACAATCAATCTAGGGTATTTATCCATAGAAAGTCTATCTAACAAATTGATAACAGAAGATAATTCTAGAAGGAATCGTTCTAACAATCACACAGAACATAAAACATATAGGAAAGTAGCTTTCCAAGAAAAATATAGTGGAACATTTAAATGTCATAATTGTGGATCCAGGGAACACAATAGAAGAGATTGCCCAAAATTCTTAAAAGAAAGATATAGATCAGAATACAGAAACAAATACGATTATAGACAACCTTCCATAGAAAGGCATAGATATAGGAGCCCACCAAATCACAGAGAGAATAGAGGGGGCAGAGACAATTCAAAGGATAGAAAGTCTGGTTCACTGAATGGATTAAATAAACAAGACAACACTAACACACAACAAAGTGAGAACAATAATTGGCTTATTGATTCTGGAGCAACTAATCACACCACTAATAACAAAAGTATATTGTCTTCATTTGCAGAAGATAAATTTGTAATTAAGGTTGCTAACCAAGAAAAGGTTCAAGTATTAGGTAGAGGAAATGTAACCTTGCCTGGTTTAGGAAAAATAGAGGGGGTATTACTAATACCTGAAATACCTCATAACATATTAAGTGCCATAAAACTAAGCAGAGATTCTGACATTAACATTGTCTTTTCAAAAGGAAAGGCAACTTTGGAAAAGAATAAAATAAATGTAGGCACTGTGGTGACTAAAGGAGGACTACCTTACCTAATAACAAAAGAAAAATGGTTACATAACATTGATTCAAATATGGAAGATTGTATTGAAATAGATAATGAGAATGTTAGCAACAGTGACAATGATGAATGTAAAATATCTCATGATCACACAGATGCACACAACGATAAGAAGCCAAAGATAGGTAAACCAATTCATGATGAGTGTGCTCACATATTGCATAGGAAGTTAGGACATGCCAGTTTTCCTGTAGTGCAAAAAATGACTGAACACGCAGAAGGTGTTAAAATAAAGAATTGTGAAAATTATCTGGAATGCTCAGTATGTAAATCTACAAAACTAAAAACTAGTCCCAGGCCAAGAAAATCTACCAGATCAACTAACAAAATTTTTGATTTAGTACACATGGACTTAGTTGGTCCATTAACTCCATCAATCACTTATAGAAAACGTTACTTCCTAACAATAGTGGACGATTATAGCCGCTATGGATTTGTTTACACACTTAAACACAAAG